AATAACATTTGATGAATTTGTATTGTTTGTCATGATTTTTTAAAAGGCTGAGCTGCTTTTATGCTACCGGTATTCAAAATTGTCATGTTTTTAAACTAAAAATGTTAAGCCCGTATTAATGGGCCTGGGATGGGAAGGTTGCACTTTGCAAATTTTAGGCTGTTTAGGCTCAAACGCACGCTTTTGTTATCTGACGGGGTTTTTACTATATAATTTAGACGTACAAACGCACGGTCACTCCCTCTAAACGCACGCTCCGATATGCGAAACACACTGACAGGTAAAGCTTGACTAAGGGAAATTTTCACTTCGACAAGCCTAGAAAACCGGATATTTGGTGAGACTGCCCCTTACACCAAACAAAGACAGTGATGGACAGCGTTTTCACACCCAACTTTCCACTGACACAGGTTTAGGACTGGTCGGTGAAATGCTTGGGGGGTTTGGGGACTGAAACGTTCTTTGATTGGTCACTGGAAATGAATCTCTTTGAGAGGTTTCTGACTGGTGTTTGAGTGACTGCGCGTTGGCTAATGTTTAGGTAGACCTAAGCCTATGATGCGCAACACGCATGAATGCTCGTTCATGAATTTACGGTCGGGGGTGGTCGCTTGGAAAGCCACGTGGCTAGGCCGTCGTCTCTATGACTATCAGTACTAGATCTATCACCAACAATTTCTTTTCAGGCTATTGGTTCCTGACATTTTATGGTTCATTCATTACATCAAGTCTGTCTTTCTGCCCATTCAACGTCTTTGCAGTCTTAACGGCAGTCGAGGAATCTTTTACAAAACAATCACGTGTCGTCACATTATCGGGCAAAATGACCCCCACCCCAAAGGGAGGTAACTAGCATACCAAGGCAATGAGATGACTGCATCCCTTCCTCCCCTTTGCTAAGGTTCATGTAAACGCACGCTCCGTATATAAACACACGATAAAAGGAGCCCTCCCGAGCGCCGTGCGTTTAGGCGGAGACTACTACTACTGTAGTTGCCTATCCAGTCGGCAAATAGTGGTGAAAGCGTCACACCTCCCCTGTGCTATCCTAGCCTCTCTGATAATGGCAGGCGTCAGTCTTCCTCGTATATCCATTGCCACCAGTTCTTGCGTCTCACAGGACCACTGACTAATTAAAAATAGAAATGATTGAACGCCTCCATTTTTTTCCTATCCTTTGCGCCAGGCATTGGTGTAATAGTACAGATTACAGTCAAATAATGCCACCCCTCCCCTGTATGTAACAACACTTTTGCAGGGTTTTTTTTCTTGCCTGGCCCTATGTAAAGAGCTCTCCAGATATTTTGTTTAGGATTACTACTCCTCAGATGAAGTGGTGAGTGATGAAGCATTACTTAGACTAAGAATGATCTTATTCTGAATTCAGAGTGATCATGGAGCATGTCATCAGCTGAATATTTCAGATGATTGGTCTGAATCTCCACAGAGATACAATAGGTCTTAGGTGATGCATACTCCCTTTACGGAGCACTCTTGGAGAGGAAATACATGTAGGCCTATTTCTAGGAAATTAATCCTAAGACATTTCATCTGCAAAAGACATATTTTCTTCACCATGGTTATTTGGAGACCTGCATAGGTTAATCTAAGGTCTTATTTTGTAAATAAGTTATTAAATTGTGTTGAAAGGGACTTAAAAACGCAACTGAAAAACACTTTCATCTTGGGAGACTGACCCTGACAGCTTCTCCTTAGAGCACTGCCCAGCCTTGTGAAGCTCTTTTCTCTTCTTATTTGGGATATCCAAATTCGTTTTAATCTGCAGTTGAATTGAGTAGGTACTTCACAGCAATAACAACTATATCACGGTACAGGTGTAAAGTCATGGAGGTAAGTGCCAAGAAACAGAAAGTAGACACTGAAGGAGAAGTGGAATAAAACACATAACATTGACCACAACCTGGACACGAACAATTTAGTACAGACACACCAACTGTATGTATATTGATGAAATAGCAATTTTTATTATCAAATATTTCACATCAACGTGTATCACATATACACTGAACAATGTCATTCAGAAAAGGCTTGCTTATGTAGTTTGACAAATGTGTACACAGTCAAAGTCAAATCTGGAAAGTATTCTTTGTCTTGTACTTGTACATCAGACACTGTAAATTAAATAACCATGACCCTTGAAAGCTTAACCAAATCTTTTCCACCATAACATTTTAGCACTAACTTGAATAGACAGCAATATTAATCAACAAACTTAGACACTTCTGTAAAATCTCAGCAACTGTTCACAGACAAATCATCACTCTTGCCATAACATAAACAATCATAAATCAACCCAAAAGAGTGGATAGACAACAAAATTGCCTCTCAAAACTGATACAAAATGAATTATGTACTTTTACACTAACTACTTTTTTGTTTAAGTTGACATGGTCAGATCTCATAGAGCATCCCCTCTGGCACAACAGCACCATGAGAGCATTAAACATTTGGCATAATTGATAGCACGTTATCTGGAGCAAAAGCAGCGGCATACTCTTACTTTTAAGGTTTCAAAATTTAACTTTTTATTTTTATCTCTGAAGGGGTTAAGCCCACTATGCCGGGCTCCCGCTTTGGTACTAAATCTAAAAATGACAAAAACGTCACTAAATGGGTCATTAAATCAAAACAAGTCAACCTATTTTGATAGTTTTCATCTAATGAAAGAACTCCCGATAAAAGAGACCTGTTTTCGACAATTGCCGAATAGTAATTTGGTGTAGAAGTCGTTTTAAAGGAATGTGCACGGGCACAGTGGATCAGCCCACGAGCTGCTGGTAGTGGCTTGCTGGAGATAAAGAGTAAGTACACATCTCTTGCAATGGCCTGCGTCTACGCAGCACTCAGAAGACAGTGTATCTTAAGGGGCCGTTCAAATATAATCTTACGCCTGGGAGGGGGGAGGGTGGCTACTGTAAGAAAAGTTTAAGAA